TAACTGTAACTAGTTACTTTTACAAAGTAACTTTCCCAACCCTGATATATATATATATATATATATATATATATTATATATATAAGAGATATGTTGATTATTCTTGATTTCTTTTTGATTATTGATGCTATTGTATCATTTGCTCCAAATACTTGTAACGTGAAAGAACGTTGAGTAATGTATAATCAATGCAAGGATGTTCAGTAAATCATCCAGTAATTAGAGTTCAAATATATTAATATCAATTTTTTTATAATATATATATATATATATATATATATATATATTGGAATATAGAAAAATGATAAAAAAATATATTTCGGCGATTTAAAAATTTTTTAATATATTGAAAATATTTTTACTACATACACTATATATACCCGTACGGAAAGAAACTATTGAAATGCTAATAGTAACTATTAGGATGATAATAGTAACTATTAAACGCCAATAGTTACAAGCAGTAATTACTACTGCAATAATTATTGCAACACTAGTAATAATTATTGCAACACTAGTGTCCACTACACAATTATTAATTATTACCAATGTGAATTATTAGAATGTAATAGTGCGTACTATTGAAATATCACTAGTACAAAGATTTAACAGTATACACTGCTATCATACCAATCATTGAATAGTGTGAACTAATAGTGTGCACAAGTTTGCAATATTAAACCAACTAATAGTGCACATTCTGTATAGTGTATACAGTTGAACATTTCGTCCTACCTTATTAGTAATGAGAGTATTACTAATAATGTGCACTAAATTGCATATTTTAATCAGTGCGTCGTAACAAAAAAAATGTTTTAAAGGTAAAAGAAGAGGTTAATAACAAAAAAATTATATATAAAAATAATAATCTTTTTTAATTTATATTTATATATATATATATATAATTGCAATTATTACATATATTTTATATGTATATACATATATATATATATATATATATATATATATCTTATAATATATATCAATATGTATATATATTAATCACGTTCAATATTATTTACGAGGCGCACAATGCAATACTTATTATCTACATTATTGTATGGAATTTTTACACATTTGGCATATAACATGTCAGGAAAGACAGCGATGAGAGAATCAGTCATGCGAGTAATGTGAAAAAAACGATTCGATGAAAGTATTGGATTGTTTGATTTACAAATTTCCATATCAATAATAGGATTAAGAATCTTTCCAATAATAACGCATCGTACATAATTTGTCCGCACAATACGAACATTAAAAATGCCGGTTATTATTATAAACATACCATTCTGTAGCAATACTGTACTGTTTTGTCGTCTTTGAAGTTTTTCATAGTTCTCGACATGGCACAATACATTTCGAAAAATGAAACGTTTGTAACAATCACACTCGTTTAATATATTTTCATGTAAAAGAGCTTCTATACAAGTTTGCTCCATTAATGTTAACATTTTTTGAACCGGTTTTCCAAATATTTTAAAATAAGGTTCATATTCTAGATAATTTTTTGAATGATACATTTCACTCATTTTATAATATAAAATTTTTGCATTTTCGAACAATCGGGTCTTGAAAATACTTTCAAACATGAATTTTCAATGCGCTTTGATCTCATATATAATTTGCATATCTGTTCCGGAACAGCTTGCGAATTTCGAAACATTTTCCTTAATACTCCGTTATAATGTTCATAAGGAAACGTAGATGTAGTCCATAGAGCCCCAAATTGTTTAACAAACTTTGGGATATGTAATAACAAATGTACATTAAACTTGTAATATTCTAAGCCATATAGATTTTCTATTTTAAACACGAACATTTTCAATGCATTTTTAGCCGTCGAAAAATCTACGCCATTGATTTTTTCTTGTAGAAATATGTGCATGCTACAGATAAAAAGAAACCAGTGTCTTACATATTGTAAAGGCATTACGTTTTGTAGACAAATAAGAGAGTAATAGAGCAAGAAGTTCTTCCATTCTGATGCCTTCCATAAATTTCTTTCATTAATAGATCTGGGCGTACGAGTAATTTCACACGGTGGTTTTATTTGCAACAGCTTCTCGTCAATAAGATCTACTTTGTTTCCTATATACCAGTTTTTTTCGTGATTTGACGAGTTAAACCAAGCATCCGTAAAAGTTTTTGTAACTCCCAATAAAACAGAATGCATATAATCAGGTGTAAACAAAGATGTAATATCAAAGACCGGTAGTAGCATTAAAACTGTTGGTCCTTTCACACCGTGAGGTGTAGTTTCAGTTTGCACAGCAATTTCACAATCTACTTCATGTTGATGCAATGTGCGCGGTTCCTTTACGTAACCAGGATATACTCTTGTCATTCCTTTACCGACTTCAATGTGAATACCTTCATGCAGGCAAAAGCTGCAACCAAAACTTCCATTATATTGTTTTATATTTTGTAATAAAGGTCGCGCGACAGAATCTACAGGAGACGCGATTGTGTGTACTCTAATATGAATTTCTTCTTCGCCTGGCACGTTACGTGTAATGCCTACTTCATGCAATGAGATCAATTCCTCGACGAGTAAAGATAAAAACAAATTCATATCAGGTTTTTCTTTACCATACCACAAACCACACAACATCATATTTTTTCTCCTTTCTCTATACGGCAATTCATTTATCATCACCTGTATAGGCCACATAGATACAGACGATGAATGAAACACTTGAACTCCGTCAGAACTGATCTGCAGCGTGATATCATGTAATTGAATTATCCCAGAATCTTTTAAAGATGTATACTTGTCCAGAAGTTATATCAGAATAATTATCGTTTTCTTTTTGAAGCAAAGCATATTTGTCGCTGTTTACAAAGTCGCGCAACTGCTGTTTTAAAGGTAAATATAGGAAATAGTTACCACTTTTTCTCAACGTATGTTTATCATATCTACATTGGCACTCTTGGCAAACAAGGTTTTCTTTTGCTCTATCATCTGCACTAGTTTTCAATCTTACATAACACTCTGGACAATAATAGCATTTACGAATTGATGCTGGAATATCATATTTCTTTATAAATATATACTTCGTGTGGTATACTGAGTATGGTAGGTGACAGTTTATCAAAGTGATGAGGTCCTCAAGAGCAACATCAGTTAGATTGTATCGTATCGCAAAGTTTAATATGAGGAGTTCACTTTCTATCTTGGATATATTCGATTGTTCATATAATGGGACTCGTTCCTGTAAATTGAATATGGATTCGATTATTATTTTTTTATATTTGAAGTTATTCTTAAATGTAAGTAATTAAGATCTATAGCGCACACATAATTTTTTAGAGAGTCTGAATATATCTATCCTTGACATCTTTTGATGCAATTTGTGACAGATTTTTCACTGCAAAGCTTTATTTACATCAGAAAATTTATCTCAATTAAAATAACTCATCTCAATTTACTCGAATCCTGTACCTGATCATTGTTCTCTGGTGGCACAAATGCTACATTCTCTGCAGACTCATCTAAGAATTCATCATAGTCTTGAACTATATCTTCTTCCAAATCCGATGCGTCATCATTGGCGATCACAACATCAGATTCGCTCGAACATGCTGAGATCTCATCCGAAAGATTGAAATTTGATTCAATGATTACACTCACTGTATCATTCTTATTTTCTGGATTGCCAGATATTGGACCATTTATATTTGAATCACTATCTTCCGAAATGTCTTCAGCAGCAATGGTATGTGTGTTGTCATTAGAACTCACAAATGGTTGTCTCGATATCATAGAATCATCAACATTAATTTCTTGTTCCTAAATAAATAAAGAAATATACACTCTATTGCAAATAAATAAGAATTAAAGGATTTTTTAATATATTATAAATAATACATATATTTATAATTTCTCTTTCCTTAAAATCCTTTACATTTTATAATATACTGACCTGTTGTAATGGCATCTGTTCTCGTCGTCTACGAGAACGAATTGTTGATTCGGGCACTGGTACATCGTCATCTTGTAAATATCGTTTATAACATCCTCTTCTAATCAATATATTATTCTCATCCATTTTTACGTACAATTACACACGAATATATACATATGGAGATGAGTTCAAAAATGATGTACAAAGCTATTATTTATATGAAACAAAATCATTCTTAAGCCTAGTATAAATATTATTTATAATATATTAAAAATTATACCTCTTAAACGTCTTTTTATATGAATCTTTTTCTGCGGAACACACTGGAACTACACTTTATACTATATCATTTATCTTTGATACTATAGAATTTTACACCAATTAATTATTAGTCGCGTAATAAAATATTTCTGCTGATGATTCAAATTGATGCACTAACCAAAAACGAGCATGTGTCATTCTCGCGCATATATATGCGCGGCCATATAATGACTGCCGTTTTTTATTTATTTATTTATGTATATATACATACACATATATTCTTTTTTAAGGCATTGCGCACAATAGAGAAAATATATATTAGAAATAAATATTAAATATTAGGAATAAAAATTATTTTAAAATAATAAATCGAAAAGACTGTGCGTGTGATATATAAAATACAAATTCGCGAATATAATTAAAAGACTAATAAAAGGAGTCTTTAATAAATTAGTAATAAATAGAGCCCTTTTATATTCGAATTTGATGAAATTATATATCAGAGTTTTTCAATTTTATTATTTTAAAATAATTCTTAATTTCTTCCTAATATTTAATATTTATTCTTAACATTTTCTCTATTGTACATATATATACATACTTCATTGAAGCTACGTTCGCCGCGCATGCACGAAAAAAATCCGGTGCGCGCGACAAAAGTGATGCAGTGGCATTTGTTTTCGGCTTACATCGATTTTGCTTTAGGTAAGTAAGAAATCTTCGATGTAATTTATACGACATAAATGTGTAGAACAGGTTATTTTTTGAATGTATAATCACCAAGAGTATATCTTTTCAGTTTCTTTCCTCACATATACATATATTTGAGTTATGAATTATCATAATTTAATAAATGCAATCGTTGTATTAAAGTCAATTAACCTATACATATTACATTTGACAAAATAATTATTTCAATATTTCATAATTAATTTATTTTATCATTATATGATTAATTATTTCGTGTATAGATAATGGACGACCAAAGATATATGGTGTGCGAGTTTCCAAATGAAGAAGATAGCATATCTATTGGATATTTAGAATGGCTGGAAAATAAATTCACAAACATTGAATTAGATGATGTAATTAAACGCGGGACGATAGTGAAAGTTCGATGGCCAAAAGACTGTGATGTGGGCCCTGTAGCAACAACAATGAAAAAAAAATTGGCCAATTGTCAATGGGAGGTGGTTGCAACAAAATTACGGGCATATGGAGGTAAGCGCGCATCAATAATATTGAATAAAAATAGTTTTATAAAATTTTAGATAAGAGCTTAGGAAGAGAGATATGAGATAACACTTTATTGAAATTTTAGGATGGATTAAAATGTGTGAGATCAGAGACAATTTAGAAAAGTATGGTATCACTGAACTTGACAGAAGTAATAGAAAACAGTTCACGAGTAAAAATAACCATACAGAATGTGATAGTAATGATGAATCAGGAGTAAAAGAAACAAAAAAGGATGCGAAACAAAAGGTATAACATACATAATTATATAGATATAAATCATGATTTTAAAAATCGCATGCTATAAAAATAAATTTATACTATTGAATAAGAGAGTATAACGATTTTTTATTTATAGAAATGTATTCTAAATGTAAAAAAAGGAAAAGAACTTTTAAAACAATACAAACACAAAAAGCAGAAATATTCGTCACAGGTATTTTTTTAATTTGTGTGCGTGCGTGCGTGTGTGTGTGTGTGTGTGTGTGTGTGTGTGTGTGTGTGTGTGTGTGTGTGTGTGTGTGTGAATGTATATAATGTGTTCTTTAGACTTTTCCTTTTGAAACGTGACAAAAGGTTGATATATAATTTATACCATATTATAGAATAAATCGATAGATATCAGCGACGACGAATCTGGTGAAGAAAACGAAAAATCTCTCATTCATAAACAATCAAAGTCACAATTAAAAGATACAGTCATTGTATTAAATGAGGAAAACAAAAGATTACGAAGAGACAATGAAAGACTGCGCAAATTACGATTTGTCAACGAAGGTATTCTTGTTGAATATTTTCCTCTTAATAATCCTCAGAAATCAAATTAAATATTCCGTTATGAAATAAAGTCAAATGATTAAAGAAAATTAATTAGAATTATATTATATTATTATTATTAATAATTATATTATTATTATTCAGAGTATTTCAATTTGTTTACTACTCAGTATAGCTCAAATTGCATTACTACAGATAAACTTTAATTTTTATCTCGATAGTTTTTTTTAAATAATTGTCGAATTATTGCATTTATCAGCAATTCACCAAATAAATAGACAGATTTCTAAACAACGAGTGCAAACGTTAATCATTTCTTTACAAATACATTTCTTTATATGCTACTTTTTCGAGCGTTTTTCAATTTTGTTAGTACAATTCTTAATACAATCACACCGTTATGTATTTTTTAGATTTGCCAAAGATAGATAAATTTATGAAAGATGTTACGGCCGACTTGCAATGTGCTTCATGGAAAACCGAATTTCTCAATAATCAGATTGATAAACTGCAACAGGTATATATTATGTAATTTTGACTTTTATTTGCATTAAATCGTATATTTGTAAATATATTGTAATATGAAACGATATATGCTAATTGTGCTTATTTGTTTTGTAGAAAGTACAAGCAATAAGTAACTGCATTATTGAACGTGAGCAAGATTATACTCCGCCTCCAGCAATGACACTAGAGTCTGATCCGATCTGGATCAGCAATAAGTTGGATCTACCAAACAATAAGTTAAAATCATTTCGAAATCAAATCGATGTATCGCCTGCAACATTGATAGTGCAAAATAACGAGTTAGAGCCAATTGTAAGTAGCGATAAGTTAATACGAGTAAAATCGTCTCAAAGATCGGATACAGATGAGTTTCGTGAATCAACATCCTCACGTGAGTCGAAACCTTCGACATCCGGACATATTCTACCGCAAAATTATAACCGAGAATCATCACCGGAAGATTTCTTTGATACTCATCCAGACGTTAGAAATAAAAAATAAAAGTAGTCAACACACATGAATTGGAAAACGTACACGAATCGAATGCAGTAGATAAAATAAAGCCTGCGGATAAGCATCAATCAATCGCAGTACGCAAGCCTAAAAATTATTTCAATTATTTTATAATGCGCTATTTAATATAGAAGTTAATATTTTTAGAATTTCGATTGAAATTTTGATTTTTAAGTGTATAGTATAAATATATTAATTGGTTGGTTTTCAATTTTTATCTGATGCAATTTTGCGATGAATATGAATATCATTACATTTTATAATTATTTAAAAGTTATTTTATCATATTTTTTGTACAAAATCACAGGAAAAAACAGTCGACCTGGGAGGACCAGAACTTTGTGTGGTGAATGCTACTCGTCTTTCTTTGTGCAATCACACATCTGCCTCTAAATTGATATGCGAGATGATGTCATTGTTATTTTCAAAAAAGAGTTGGCTACTTCCTCGCTTACAGGAACTGTGGCAAATTTTCATTGCGAAAAAGGTGTAGCCGCTAAAAAGAAACTCGATACGGTGAAAATTGAAGCTATGAAAAGTATGTGATCATAATTTGTGCGATGAAGTATTGATTTCGCATAGGTAACAATTTGAAAACCGATAAATACATGTATATATGTGCTTTCAGCATACGTTAAGAACAAATTTTCATCAGAAAAAGATTTTGATAAAATATTCCGGAAAGCAGTGCAACAGAAGTGCAATAATGCAGTTCCTCGAAATAGAGGGCCAAATAATAAAGGAGATGAAATTAAGAAGTAAGCCAGCTATGTCAAAGCGAAGAAAAAACAAAGAATGATTAATCTAAAATTATTATATTATTATTATTAGAACTATTATTTTTATTTTTAAAATTACTATTATTATATTATTATTATTAATTCGTATTAATTATTTATTAAAATTATTATTATTCTCTTTATCTATAAAATTATTCTACTAAAATATATTATTTTTCAATATTTATAATTATTAACATGATATTATTATTTGAATTTAATTATGCGAATAAAAATACAACTAGTAATTAATGTAAAATAAATAATCAGTGTTGCTTTATTTCTATATAGCAATATATTATATATAATAATGTATATATAATATATGTATATATATATAATGTATATAATGTATATATATATACCAGTACATCACACCGTCCAGATAAGTTTGGAAACACCTAAAGTTTTAGAGTATTTAGAGACAGATAAAGCATAATCGCATGGCAGTGATATCGGCGCAGATTTTTGGTATATGGACATATCGTGTAAGACGTTTAAATGACGATATATTTCCATTTAGAACGTCTTACAATATATTCATATCAAAAATCTGCGCAGATCGCTGCCATGCGACTGTTATTTATATCTGTAAACGTGAGATGTTTCCAACTTATTATATGGAGGGTATATCGTATATGTATATATATATCGCGGGGAGATTATATATATACATATATACATACTACATACACATATATATACAATATATATATATATATATATATCTCCCCGAATACATACCTTACCAAGTACGTAATAGTGCGGATGTAAAACTACTACTGCGGATGTAAAACTACTAGTGCAGATGTAATACTAGTAGTGCGGATATAACACTACTAGTGCGGATGTAACACTACTAGTGTGGATGTAACACTACTAGTGCAAATTTCAATAGTGCGCGAAATTACTATTGATCTAGTGTGCACTAATAGTTCTATAGTTTTCAATTCAATAGTTTCTTTCCGTACGGGTAAGCGTAAAAATAATTCAGAATTAATTAAAAATAAACTTAATAAAGATCTACATACCAGCTGTGGCATGTTGTGCAATTGATTTTATTACTTAATTTATTTACGAATTATTTTGCAATTATATATTTATAGTGTGTGTAGTTGTAAAATGATTAAATATTTTCAATATCAAATTTTTAAGTTTATCGCCGCCTAATGAAAAAAATATTTCTATGATTTTCTATATTCCAATATATTATAAAAAATTGATATAGATATATTTGAACTCAAGTTTTTTTACGTGATTAAATATTCTTGCATTGAGCCATCATACGTTACTCGTAAGTTTTTTCACGTCATAAGTATTTATGTAGCAGAGAGAAAGAAATGAGAGTTTATAATGTAACATCAATAATCGGAAAAAATCAAGATACGTCATATCTGTGTATATATATAATAAATATCTCATATATATATATATATATATACTTTATACATATATATTAAACTTATATATTATATATATATATTTCATTTATTTATAAAATACATTTTATAAATAAGTGAAATATTATACAGACAATGTCAAGATGTTCCAGTTTGTGCCATACACAGCTTCATCAATAATTATTACCCCCAATGAGTATAATTCACATAATTTTATATAATATAATAAGTTTTGAATATATAAAACTATTTTAAAAATTTGTTTTAAAATTATTGAAAAAGATATTTAAAATATTTTTTATAGACTAGTAGTGTTATATGCTTCGACACTTGCGATGCTGAAAAACTTATTACATAAATTTTTTTTATGATATAAAAATTAGTTTATTATATATATTTTTATTTAATTATTTTAATAATAATTCTATATTTTAATATACAGAGTGTCGGGTAACTAACGACCAACCGTTGAGGGCGGATTTTCTGGCCAATTTGGAGACGATTTTCTTAGCCAAAAATTGAGAAGTCCATAATTTTCGAGTTATACGATTGAAAAAATGGGTTTTTTAAAACTAAACGTTTTGGAGTTAAAGTCTAACATAGACATTCTTCAGTTAATTTCAGGTAGAGTTTTTATAATAAATTTTAATTTGAGACTTAGTTATAAAATACATAATGACAAATATTGAAGTTGTAAAAAATGATGACCTTTTTTGACATTTTCGCTGAGGAAAAATTGTTCCCAAATTGACCAAAGAATCCATTTGTAATTGTTGATCCGTTAGTTATTGGACACTCTGTATATTAAGCACACGGATAGAAAATTTACATTGCTCATCATATATAAAAATATAAAGTAATGGAAAAAATTTTACATTAATTTAAATAGTATTATGAGGTAGTTAATACATGAAAATCATATAAGATGAATGCTGTACATCGATTAGCATAATATGATTCCAGTCAATAAATGGTTTTGCTAATATATTTTTGAATAAAAATTAAAAAAATATAAAACCAAAAAAATGAAATTAATAAAATTTTTTTTTTTTCCTTCATTCTTTGTTTTCTTCTTCTTCTATTAATTATTTTTCTATTATTTGAATAAAAGATGTATCGTGTGTTAAAAGATTAAATAGATAGATAATTTATATAAATATAAATTAATTACTTTTGAAATTTATATATAATATATTATATATATTGAAAGCAATCGCCACCGATCGGCTGATTGCGCACGCGCCGATACACAGCTGTCCCCCGATACTACTACTACTTAACCTCCGGCGATAAGCGTATATGGCGCAAATAAGCGGCGCGCGCGGAAGAGTCAAAGGGATTTAAGCTAGCGAGCGGAAAGGCCCGGGACTCTCCTTCGAGCAGTATAACCGAAAAAGAAGTTGATTTTGTATACGGGAGCCTTTCGTAATAAATAACAGTCTTTGTCTTCAGTGAATATTTGTTGAGTGACCTTTCAAACCCCTTTCTCGAACCTTCGTACTTTCCGCGCTTTTCTAAGAACAGTTGAAAACTTTTAACGGTCATCCGTAATTAAATTCTTCGTTTTAATAATCTCGATTTCTTACAATATATATATATTATTTCAATAATACATATATATATATATATATATAATAAATTATTATTTATCTATTACATACGATACGCCTTTTATTCAATAATAGAAAAAATAATAGAAAAAAACAAAAAAAAAACATGAATAAAATGTATTTATTTCATTTTTATTTGTTTTTATAAAATTTTTATTCAAAATATATATTAGCAAAATCATTTATTGCGGCTTGTAATCATAATATTACTAATATTACTAATCGATGTACAGCATTCATCTTATAAGATTCCCAGTGTTACCCCCACAATACTATTAAAATAAATGTGAAATTTAATTTGCATTACTTTTATATTTTCATATATAATGAGCAGATGTAAAATATTTCTCATTTGTTGTGTGTAATATATTATTTTTGTATTTATACTGATTTTACACATATCAAATGCAAGAGAGACAAAGATAGATGATACTTTCTTCTTGTTAAGCTGTCAGTATTTACCACGAAATTTCCCCATGTGTATAGATCTAGTGAGATTTGTTCATCCCAAATATTACATAAAAAGAAGTTACGTAGCTTCGTGAAATATTTTTTAATATATTCTTTATATAATAAAGCAAGGAGACAAAGTCGAATTTTGCATTATGCTCTTAAAAAATTTATTAAATTAAATACGATCTCGTGGCTACCCA